AAGTATTTAGTGGGTCAACTCCTGGTGGATCAAATACGAATAATACAATGTTCTCTAATCAATTGACACGAGCTGAAAATTAATACAAATATCACTCTTTATTGAAGTTTTTGTATTAAAAGGTTGTTTTTTTTTGTTCGTGTATTCATTCAAGTGAAAATAAAAAATATCTATTCAAAATGCGTGGTAAAAGTCGTTTTGAAGCAGTTTAACCAGTTAACTGTGATTGACGAGTATACTCGTCATGGAGAAGTGGCACGATTTTGTGTATTGACGAATATACTCGTCATGCGTATAAAGTAGGGACCATTGGCTATTAAATTTTAGTTTTTGAGAAAAACAAAACATAGTCTCAAATTTCAAGATGTTTAAAATATTTTGAGGCCAGGCCGGAATGAAACAAACGAATAAAAAATATAAATAATTTGAGATAAACTCATGCGCCCCGTATGCACCGGCTAAAACAGCTTGCCGTCTATTAGATATTATTTGTTTGAATTCATATATATTATACAAAAAAATAATGAAACGTTATCGCGAATGAATTTTTTGCTAGAATTTGTTGAGGACACTATTGCATCATATCGAATAACACGGGAAAAATCGACACAAACTCGGCCATCTAGGCCTAATATAACACAATTACTCGGGAATCATGTTCTGGATCATATACCCAGAACTTCGAACACAAAAAATCCTACCCGAAGGTGTGCACGTTGTTATAAACGCAAGATCAGGAAAGAATCCCGTTACTGGTGTTCCATTTGCAAAGTCCCATTATGTGTAACACCCTGTTTTGCCGAATACCACGCCACGGCAGGAATTTAAATTCTTGCTATCATATGCATTTAATTTCTCTTGCGTTTTTCGTCTAATAAGTATGTAATATATGTTTAAGTTAACCAAATAAATATACATTAGTAATAAAAGTGTCAATTTTATAAAATAAACCCATCTTTTTGATCCAGTATCTTAACAGCGACACTTACTCTGTGATTGACGAGTATACTCGTCATCGCTCGATTTCGGCGACACATATAGGTGCGCGCTCGCAAAAGGGGGCGCCACAGCTAATTGGTTAAGGGAGTATTATCGTTTAGAAACTTCAAGAATTCGATTTCCTTTTTTTTTAATTTTCTTATAGTTTGAGGTTCTGAGAATGTGTCTCGAAAATATTAATTTGAAGTTCGTAGAACTCCCATAGTTAGAGGCTTAAAGGCTGCGGTGCGTTGGGGCGCGTCAAGTAGTCATCCCCTCGATCGTTGTGTGCATTGTACGGCTCAATATATTTTTTTTTAAGCTGAGGAAGGTGATTTGTATGGTCCCGGTATAGCCGATTAAAGTGTAAGTTACTCAATTCAGTTGTTATCCACCGTACGTGCTAAATGTATGGCAAACTTTAATCGCGTTTTTCTCGAAACGACATTTTTCAAATCGGGCGGACGTTTTTCTCAAAAACTATTGACTTCGGGTTTTGCACACATTTCGCCGGAACCTTCACCTATAGTCCGAACTAGAATGATACCGATAGCTTCAATATTTTAGCCCCGCTCTCATGTTTTAGTTGAAAATTTTCCGGGATAATGAAACCTTAATTTTCAAACAGCTGCGATTCTGACAAAAAATGTCGTACTTACTTTCAAGGAAACATTCCCAAGTGTCCGCCCCCGATCTTATTGATTTTCATATATGTTGAAGTTTTTATATCTGCAATGGTCCACATTTAAGGGGTGAAACAACCCCCCAAAGTTTGGCGAAAATTCGATTTTTATAACAATTTTCGTAGAAGCAATGGAGGGATTTCGACGAAATTTGGTATAAACGTATTCCTTATAAGGACGGTGAAAACACAATATTGTCCAGCAATGCTACACCCGCCCCCAAGGGGGTGAACTACCCTTCAGGCGACATTTTTTTGTAATATCTGTTAAACAAGCACTCCTACTTAAGTTCCACTTACGCCGTATGATTGCTCACAAAAAATGAAGAAATACGTGATTTTTGGTTTTTACCAATAAACATTTACACATCGGTTGTAAACAAGGAATGAATGTAGGTCGTATACGGGTATATTCCGAGTAGCTATATTGGATTATATCGTGACCAATTCATTGTAGATAAATCTTGTGAACGTGCTTATTCCTCAAAATGTCCTTGGTTTTCATAGCATGCAATTATTTATAAATAAATTTAAAAAAAAGTATAAGAAACTAAAATGGTTTCGCAACAGATCCGATGACGCAGTAATCACCCGTTTCCAACTAGTAATACAATCTCCTTGGTGAAACGGTAAAATTGGATTTTTACCGTTTTTACGATAATAGAGTTAGCGATATTCGTAAATAATTGCATATTATGAAAACCAACGACATTTTGAAGAATTAGCACGATCACAAGATTTATGTACAATGAATTGGTCACGATATAACCCAATAAAGCTACTTGGGATATACCCGTATACGACCTACATTCATTGTTTACAACCGATGTGTAAATGTTTATTGGTAAAAAGCAAAAAACACGGATTTTTCATTTTTTGTGAGCAATCACATCGCGTAAGTGGAATTTAAGTAGGAGTGCTCGTTTATTAGATATTACAAAAAAATGTCGCCTGAAGGGTAGGTCACCTCCTTGGGGGGGTGTAGCATTGCTGGACAATATTGTGTTTTCACCGTCCTTATACGGAATACGTTTATCCCAAGTTTCGTCGAAATCCCTCCATTGCTTCTACGAAAATTATTATAAAAACTGAATTTCCGCCAAACTTTGGGGGGTTGTTTCACCCCTTAAATGTGGACCATTGCAGATATAAAAAAAACACGTGTCTCTTAGATTTTTGTGTTCTTCAACATATATAGAAATCAATAAGGTCGGGGGCGGACACTTGGGAATGTTTCCTTGTTAGTTCCAGTTCAGACGATAACTACATTCATATAGGCTAAAAATGTTTTGTTCTTTCGTTTCGGACGTCTAGAATCGCCGCAACCCGTCCGCCCGATTGGACGAGCGTCTCCCGCAACGACCTGCATAACAATGAATAACTTGCACAGATTTCAATAAAGAATTTCATAACAATTTGTGTTGCCAGTTGAAACATGTCTTAATATGCGTCGAAAACCCCGGCACTGTAGGTTTGATAGTTTTCGCCAAATTAATTCCTAAAAAGTACTTAAAAGACAAGTATCTAGACGATAATACCCCTTTAAGCCTTATTGCGTTTTTCTGTGATTGTGGAAAACGTAACAATCTGGTAAATATAATGAAAAGTTTTGTAAAAAGCATGGCTTATTTTAATAGTAAAAAAAGGGCTGCTATGAGTCTAGTCGAAGTACTAAACGCCCTACAGGAGTCGCCCGACATAAATGACGCTGCACACATGGAATAGCAAACAAGCGACACAGAGAGCAGTCGCATTGAGAATTCAGGGTCCGATTCTGAATGTTTTCCTGATGCTGATAATGCGGCACAGGGTTAGAGAGAAAATCATTTTTCCTTGTTTCTAGAATTCTTGCTTTCTTTCATTTGTAACTATTTATATAATAAAAATACGGTAATCGGGCCTGTATATTCTTATTCTCAATATTTTGACGATTGAATTCTACTTTTTTTCAAATCAAAATACGTATTAAAACATGTTTTATAAACGATTGAATTTGGGAATGACTGGTAATTCTTGCTGGTACTCAACGGATCGCTGATAAATGTTGGTGCCCGGAGGGTTAATATATTAAAATCTTAGGTACGCTTTTCTTTGTGTATTTTGCACTGTCGAATTGTTCATTCATTTTTTTTTTACAATAAAAACATTTTAATCACATCGCTAACCTGAATGTCAAGATAAACATACAAATGAAACCAATAAGTCTGACAATTTATCGTTAAAAAAATTAAATAATAAAGAAGGTAAATAACAGAATGTGAAGTAATTGCAAAAACTTAAAAATGTTGATGCTCGATAAAGGAGTATGACGTGACAATTTGACAGTTAGCACACGATATATATCGTGTTAGTCATTCTCTTCTTAGTTTAAAGTATTGGTTTTTATATTCTATTTATACACGTTAAAGTAAATCGACAAAATCATTTGAATATATCTACTGCAGAAGTAGTTATTTATCGAGGAATGTTCTGTAAGATTATCATTGTAAATTACACATTTCTGGCACGATCCACTGTGACTGATCTACTGCACCTTTACAATATTTTATTCAATACTTATTTACTGTGTTTTGAGAGCGGGGCGAAACACTAATCTTACATTTTAGTAGGAGCGAAAATACTTCTCTCGCCACATCGGTTGTTATAAAATAAAATAATCCTCAACATTTGCCGATTATAACGATAACTCAGTACTTAAATACGTATGCCTAGTTATTCATTCCCGGAGGAAATTTGGACACTACCAGAAAGTAATATTCCTCGAAGGTGTTCAAAGCAATATTAATAAGAAATAGTCTCGATAAACAGTAAGCTATGTGATAAAAAATTATTTCTTTTCGATATCCAACGTAAAACATGTATTTCGTTTAATGTAAAAAGAAACTTTCCAAAACTGATCAACTTTTTTAAAAATGTAAGTTATATAATTTTAAAAAAAAAGTTATACAACGTAGAACAAAAATAAATAAACAGCTTAGAATATTTGACAGTATCCTGCTTCCGTTAACCTAAATACGTTTATACAAAAATTGTGCTCCCTCGAATTACCATTTTCCCACTTAAGAGAAATCAAATGAGAAAGTGGAAAATCTCGTTAGAGAAATTAAGTACTTGGAAGATGTCTTTCTATATTAAACACGATAATATTTTCATCGGATCGAATACAAGTAAAAATTCTACCGATATTTCTGTACATTTTAGTAGACATTCTAAACGGGCATATACTGATAGACACAGTAGACCAGAATCGCTTACGCGGCAAATAGAAAATAACCTGCGCAATACTTGTCGAATTCAAAGCAATTTCAGGATACAGTGTGTACAGATGAATAAAGTAAAGCCATGTTCATCAGGTATATTTTGGAAGCGATTATTATAGTATTATATTAAGAATACAATCTTGCATCGCCGAATTGTTTAGAAGGCCGACGTGAGGTTACTTGCCGAAGTCTTCAAGATCTTCTCTTGCAAAGTCTGGATCTTTTCGCCTGCGCTATTGGTCAAAATCTTTTCGAAGGGTCCGCCTACGCATGCGTATTGCCATATGATTTTACAGTGTTCGCACATTAGGATTAAGAAAGAATCCATAGAACAAAATGGTGGTATATGCATTATTTAGCCTTAGCGCCTTATGACATCTCAAAGATGCAGTTAACTCGATAAGAGTTGCTTTGCTTACTTTAAACGGACAAATCTTTTCAACTACAGCGGGATACATATTATAAGTATGTATATAATAATATTACTATAAACAGAATATGCTTACGATAATGGGAGAAACCATCTTAACAAAAAAAAAAAAAAAGAAAAAAAAAGATAAAGAAGAGGGAAAACCCGGTACTAAAACATGAAAATTGTGAAAATACATCGGTACAACGCGTAAAATAGGACATAGTGTAGCGTGCTAATAACGTGTGTACATTTATCTGTATCAGAATAGTTTGATTACGGGCTATACGCGATAGGACTTGTAAAATTTATTATAATCATTACTGACGGTAATCCCGACCTATAGTAATTTTTCGCTTTCGCTTTCTCACTCCTCCCGCTACACTGTAGAAAGGCTTCGCGTATATCACCTACGTGTAAACTTACACGAATATTCATAGATACATTACAATTTACATGAAGATATTACAGTATTCATGGAAATTGAACTTAGTGATCGAAAGCAACGAAACAATATTTTTCGAAACATCCTAGAAATCTGTAAATGCTGCACAGGACCTTTTTAATGTTCTCCCCCCCTCGCGTATATTTTTACTGAAGAAACACAACTTTAATATAATGATTACTGTAAATTATTTCTGGAATGATACTACTTTTCGCGGGTAATATACGCAAAAAAGTGTTTACAGTATGGCCCTTACATTCTCTCGCTTGTTCGTCGCGTACACACATTCGCCGCTTCCTCTGTCTACTCTTCCTTTTTTGAACATCTTTGGAGAACACAGAAAATTCCGTGTCATAATGTCAAGCTTTAAGATTTTTATTTAAGGAGCTGCAAAGCGCCTTCGGAGCATCTTCAGAATGTAGTCTTCAGTGTCTGGAACGATGCGAAGAATCCGCTCTCTCGTCACGGCGATCTCTCTCTCGTTCTCTCTCGCGTTCGGGCTCTCTCTCTCTCTCCGCTGGCCGACGACTTGATTCCCTTTCTCGATCTCGCTCTCTGTAGCGATCGTCATAATACCTACACAGCACACGTCAGCCATTTATCTTAGTACAAATTTTATTTAACAGTACTCTCGCTCTTTAGACTTCAATGATAACACGTAATGGTCCTATTTCTTAAGGCGACATAAAACCATGGGATAGATTTCAACGTCATTCAAACTTAACTACATTATTTTATACGCGTGCTTGTCTTGGATACTTATTTAGATCAAAAGGAAACCGACTGCTGATTCTCCCCCGTGCTGCAAAATACTGTCAATTACAGCTATCAGCCTCTCGATTACTTCTAATGATACATTTATGTTCTTTGTAAGTAGTAGTAAGTATAAAGGTCGATTTATACACGTCCGATCAGGTCCGTATCAGTTCAGTTCAGTATTGGTACTGTTCCGGTAGCTTCGATACGCGACTATTTACACCTTTCCAGTAGACTCCAGTGCTGTTCAATTCGTGAAATTATAAGCACCGGAGATTGGACAAACAGTGGCTGGACGGCACGGATACAAAAATGTCGAAACGCTCCTATTAGAGAACATTGTATCGTTCATGACGCATAGAATGAAACGGACATTGAACTGATACGGAACAGACCCGAGTAAATCGACTTTAAAGTCAAACGAGGTTTATTTTCAACTTCAAGATTTAAACAAATAATTGATACTTGAACTGAACAAGATCAGATAATAATTTGCATTGAAAATACTCACTAATAAGTGCAAACATTAACGATTCTTTCGGGTAATGTAATTACATTAGGTAATCAACCATTCATAATGCCTTAATATTTACATAAAAAAGTTTCGGGCAGTTTGTAGAGTAATTATCAAATATATCGGATAACTGATTTGACAGTTGTGAGTTAAATCCACTGCATAAAATCCGGGTTTTACGTCGCCCTAACAGTCACAATCAGCTGACTCTGACTTGAAGTTGGGCGCACTTAACTATTTTAGAGATTAAAAAACGCAGTACTTCATACTTATTGGAAGAAGTACGATGGATAGGAAGCTAATATCTAACGATCTGGATAGTTAGTAATGGGATACACGACTTTCGGATAAAGTGTATTTAAATACAGGGCATACAGATTTAAGATTATGCGGAAGAAGTCGAAACTTTTCAGGACCGACAGGCTCTCCTTTTTTAAGAAGGGTTGTTGAATCGACTAAAAAAAAATAACAATGAGAGAGCAGACAAACGTAGTGTAATTTTTTTTCTTTTAATCTCATTAAAGTCTTTCGAGTCTGAGCAAATACAAAAACTAAAATAGCTGGATAGAAGGAAATTTAAAACTTTTCATGAATAAATTTCCCAGATATCTTCATACTATTCTATTTTATGAGTATTGTACATTTCCAGTACTTATAAGGTCGCGAGACAATCTGCTGATAACATAAAACATGCATGGCTAGTATCTAATACTATAAGAAAATTAAAAAACTCAGAGAAAAAAAGTAGAGCTTCAAGTTAGTCACACCCTGCAAACGATGAATGATCTTAACGTTAATCTCGTAGCTTTCAAAGAGAAATCCGCCTTAACGATTTAACATTCTTCGAATAAAATCTGGAGCATTCGTTATTAAATTAACTATCGATTACTTGGTGGAGAACTAATTTTCCTGGATAATATCTGGAAGGCATAACGAGCGCTGAGAGAACTGTTAGCCAATAAGAGGCGATTTAGTTTTTCAACAAGTTCGGAAACAGATAATCCAATACCGTGTTAGTCGAGTTACCGAACGTTTACTTTATGCGCCTTGTGCTACCGAAAGAGTCCCCGTTATGTCAGAAGAACCCAATTGTCGCGGAGAATAAGTAATCTATTTATGTTTAAAACCAAATAAACTGTCAAAATCAGCTGAATCTGACGTGCGAAGCGCGCAGACCGACTTTATCTTATGTAAACGACAAGCTCGCATTCTATATATTCTATGTCAACTTCCCTTTAAAAAAAGTTCAGTCACATCATCAAAAACTACAGTGATTCAACAGTTCCGACTCAATTAGCATACCATAAAATGTAACGGACCTTTCATTTTACAGCAATGACAATTACGCTACTACTCAACTACCTTAACAAACATTTCGAAAATCGTGTTTCAATAACGAAAGTAGTCAAAATTATCCGCTAAAATTGTGTACAGCAAAATATACAGACAAAAGTATTTTCTCCAAAGGATTCAACAAATATCAATCTTTGAAACAAGTCGACAACATAGCGGAAAATCGTACGCCCATTTGCTGAGATCTAGACCACGTTTTTTCGTTGAAATATGTATCTTCACTGTACCGGTGCATTACAAATAATTATCATAAAAATGAAAAGTGTGAGAACATAATTGGATTTTGTTGAGCGATCCAGGGTATCCGACAGGATACATGTATTTTTGTACAACTATCTTACCTACCCGTAAACTACATCGACTAAATCAGGTTGTAATACACGGAAGTGAAATAAGTAGCGAATGTTCTCTGTACAGTGCATTAGTTTAGGGTCGCGTTTCGTCGCTAAACGCAATTTATTAGTATCCTCTGTGACCTAGATGTCCCGTTTTTACCCTGCTCGTGTAATGCGGCCAACTATTCGACGATACAAGTCCTTTCCGTTACGTTTATTACTATTCATAGATAAAGGAGATTGTTGTCGCTCGCCAACGGTCGACATGCATCCACTTTAATTGTAAAAAAGTGAGTTACCTAGACGTCTTGGAAGATGAGACAGGCGGCGTCTCTGGCGGCTCTTCTTTTACTCTTGGCCTGGCTGATTGACGTGTCGTACTAATGAAAAATGACATTACATTATAATATATTAATTTAGATATACCAGATGATGATTTCTTATTATATCCATTAAATTAGTTTTTCAAAGTAAGCAACAATTATTAAAATTAATACCGCGTTATGTGCGGACGTGCATGCGCACAGGAACAATGCAGGCTACTTATGTTATTAATAATGAGCGATTTATACTAATTTGGTGTCACGTATACGCAACGAACGTTGGAACCTAGTTGATAATTCAATACGAATAATTATATATTATATGTAATTATATATAAACATCCATATTCTTATACCGGGTGTCCCATTTTAAATAGTACAGTTAAATAACTTCTAAAGGAGGTGGTGTATGGAAAAACGTCTTCAATAAAAGTTTTGGGGAATCAATGCTCAGGCGGCGTCGATACACCGGGTTCCGTAAAATCATCAAAGTTAAGGTGAAGTGAAACACGTCGAGGAACTCGGTCGACGTCGATAAAGAAGATTTTTCTAAATGCCTACGTTGTCGACGTTCGTTTTTATATTGACAGCTGGGTCGAATTATATTGGGTATTGTACCAAATGGCATACTCCACCTATCGTTTTCGTACAATAATTATCAAGAAATCGAAGTTGAACTCCAGAAATTCTCTGGATTCATGCTTTCTGGGCCCTAATTGATTGCAAAGGGATCCCCTGCGTCATCTGTAATTTCCAGGTCAATTAAATTTTCCCTCCGAGACCTCGTATTCCCATCGTTTTTGCCTTTATCCCGTTCAAACGCGAGTTTATCGATAACCAGAGTGTTCTAAATTGTCGTAAAATTGTCCTGACCCTTTCGATTCTGATATCAGAGCCTTCGATAATTGTGCCCATAATTATGAAAGTGGTCTAAGTCAAAATTAAAAAAAAAAAAATGAATTTATCACTTGTTTCACACGACATGATTTTAAACTAAATTTATTCAATGTAATTTTTACGATATCGTCAAAAATGAGCCTTTAGATAGTAGTTGTAATTACAACGTTATACGGAATTCATTTAGTGTTAATTATGAAAGTGGTCTAAGTCAACAATTTAAAGAACTTATATAATCATAACTTGAAAATACCGCGTGGCCCTCTTTGTCGCGTTTCTGCTCTACATAATAAATCGATAAAATAAATGACAATCAAATAACAGAAATGCCAATTCATTCCGGTTTATCTAATAATATAATTCAGTTGGGCTCTTCGGAACTTATATTATTGGCGGCAAATAGTTTATATATTTTGTCACTATGTCAACAGATAGCGGTTCAAGTAAGTTAATGACAACGTACTTATTATGTGAATACGTGAATATTCGGATAATATGATGTGATGTGATAATATGATGATCTGCAGATATTATACGACCACGTAATACTTCCAAAAAATGGAAAAGAATAAGGCAATTATCATCTTCAGATGAATCATACCAAGATATCACTGTAAATTTAGGAACTCCAGAAATGGTACAAGGTGAAACAATAGAAATGGTGCAGGTAGAAAAAGATAAGAAAAGAAAACGGGCAAAAAATGAAGATGGTTACGCACAAAATATTAGAAAAATTAAGAGAAATAGTGGCGAAGAATACACGACAAAAAAATCAAAACTTGTGAGTGCCAAAATTTTTGTAAATAAGGATTGCTTTTGCTTAAAAAAATGTTTAGATCGCGTAGAATATAATGAAAGAAAATCTAATTTTGATAATTTCTGGAAACTAAAAGATTTTGAAACCCAGAATCTATACCTGTGTACTACAGTTCATCAACAATTAATAAAACAAAGGCGGCCCAGAACTTTTGAAAGACCCATGAGAAAATGCAGCTACAAGTATTTTCTGTCAAGAAGCAATAAGTCAGAAGTAGTGTCGGTTTGCAGAAAGTTTTTTTTAGACACCCAAAAAATTTCTGTAGGGCGGTTAACTCGTGCTCTGAATGCTGAAACTAGTGGAACTGATCGTCGTGGTAAGATCTTCGCGAAAAACAGACGAAATTAAGATAAAAGCTGTACGAGAGCATATTTTAAGTTTTCCAGCATACGAGAGCCACTATACCCGAGCTCGTCACACTCCTGGTCGAAAATATTTGAGTCCTGAATTAGATATTCGAAAAATGTATAGCCTGTATGTAGAGAAATGTGAAGAAAATAACCAATCCTTTGTTAAGGAATGGATTTACAGGAAAATATTTAACACTGAATTTAACTTAAATTTCCATGCTCCTCGAAAAGACACATGCCAAAAATGTGATTTACTCAAAGGAAAAATCGAAGCTTGCAATAATGAGGAAGAGAAATTACATCTTAGAGAAAGCCATGATGTACATTTACAAATTGTTTTTCATTTACAAATGTTGTTTCGATGTAAATTATTGATTTCTTCAATAAATTCGTGAAAGTATTCATCCAAATTATTTGATTTACTCGTTCCAAAATAGATTGCAACTGTAAATGGCTTGTAAATGTTCGGATTGTAATACACTTTGCATAATATCAGCCAACAATGTTTTTTGCCCGATTTCGATAACGGTAAACCGTAAAGTAAGGGATATTTTCGTTATACTTTATAAGTATTGCTCAAGTAAATCTTGTCTACGTAAGCAAAGAAGTGATTTCTGTTTTTGTGAATTTTAATTTCCTAGTAGCGTAAATTATTCTTATTTTAGAAACTTACACAGAAGCAATAAAAAGCTCGCTTCGCGAGCTACAGTTTAAATCAATTTCTTATACGACAGAAGAGATGAAGAGCACGCACAAAAACAGGTATCGACCACAGAGTTTCTTCTAAAAAATGGAGGGCACAGTAAACAATTGGAATAGATTATGACGATGGACAATTTCTCCCCAGTATTTGAGGAGTTACAAAACTCATACGATAGTATGCATTGTAAGTAATAATAATTTCATTTATCACTTTACAGTGAAGGAAATATTTCGAAGAGGCAAGGCAAATTATCGGAGGTCCATGGGCGGACCTATTCCCAAAATCATGGGCGAGGAAAGGTGAGAATGTTTACAAGATATGAGCATGGCCTAAACAACTTATGCGGTTAGACCAAGACGGTCCCTGCGAACAGTGGACGGGACGGCACTTAGTCAAGGATCTTAGAACGGAGCGCTTGGATCCATTTTTGATATACGCCTCCTCAAGGATCATATCTACGGTTTTGAACAATAATCCAATTAATGTTCTGTAAATCTGCAACAATATAGACTCGTTGGCGGTGGTTTCGCTTCGGTAATTTCATCTCCTACAGTTCAGAAGTGGGATAAGTCGCGCGTGCTGTAACAAGTTTGTCAAATCGGACTTGAAGTGATAAAAAGTGCGCTGAGAAATATCGTCCCACGACTCGTCATACCAGCGCAGGGAAGGACGACGCTCGAGAAGTCGACATCGTCATCCTTCGCGTAGCCGTCGTCACGAGCACGAGGAAGAAAGGGGCCTGAGAAGGCATGAGTCAAGGCGGTCCTACCATGAATCGTTGGATGAGAGTCGACCCAGGATTCGAACACTTAGTCCAATAGGTGTTCAAGTCAGAGATTATGGGTCCAGCAGCTCTGTAAGTCGTGAGTCGGATTTTGCCAGATTAAGCGATGTTTTGTCCGGTATAGTTAAAACAGGTTCGAGGAAGTCTCATTACATTAACGAAAAGATATTGCCAGAATTTGACCCCGAAAAGAGAAATTTATCTGCTAGTGACTGGGTTCAGAAAGTTAACACGCGTGGGGAGATGTACGATTGGGACGACAAGACCAAGTTATATCTCGGGATATTAAAACTAAAAGGAAATGCTAAACTTTGGCATGACGGGTTGCAAAACTCATTGTTATCCTGGGAGGTCCTTTCCACAGCGTTAGTTCGACAATTTCCGGTGGAAGAAAGTTTCGGAAAATTGATGGAAGCCGCAGTTTCATACAAGAGTTTGCCCGGTCAAGATCTTCAGACGTATTGCTTTGCCAAATTGGGAAAAATTAATAAGTTAAAATTGGAGCTTCCGGAAGAAAAACTAGTAGATTTAATTGCACAAGGCATTCACGACGAATCCATTTGCACGATTGTGTTAGCAGCTCGCAGCAAGACCATTGCAGAATTTAATAAATGTCTAAGCGTTTTCCCAAATAAAGCAAAAGAGAACAAAGATTTAAAGATTTCGAAAATTGTCAAACGTCCGTTTCCAAATTATGACGAGTCGGAGAAATCAAAGGTCCACTTCGGTGAAGGATGTTTTAAATGCGGGAAAAAGGGGTTATGTCAAGCGATTCTGCCCCAATTCTGAAGAGGCCGATTCCTCCAAAGAGCAACACGATTCTTCTTTTCCGAAAAGTTAGAAAAGGGAAGGGGGCAGAAGCAGAAAGAAATGTTCGTATTGTGGCATCTTGGGGCACTGGGACGACCAGTGCTTTAAGAAAAACAATAAGGAAAGAAAGGAATGGACGGCGTGACTAACCGGTGAAGCACAGTCCCTATCGGTTTTAGAGATAGAAGCGATAAGGATGATCAATTATCAAAACCAATGATGAGTGGACGTAATATACATGAAAAGGATGCAGAGTGCAATAAACTTGCATTACCATCAGGACCACTAGGAGCGGTCCATCTCTTCTTTTCTTTAGGTGTAAACCCAGAGGCATGGCGGATGCAATACTGTCCGCAGTAATTCAGGGTATTGTTGATCGGTTGGATCTCGAGAAGTTGAGGGATCCATTTCAACTTTTCTTTAGGTATAAACCCAGAGAAATGGTGGATGCAATACTGTCCGCAGTAATGCAAGGTACTGTTGATCGGTTGAATCTCCAGAAGTTCAGGAGAAACGCTAAGTGATCAACAGACTTACAGCAGACTGAGCAAAATCTAGGTTTGATGCTCGTCATTTTCGATCGCCAGAGTACAAGGTGGGCGACGTAGTAACGATAAGTTTATCGCTGTAAATGTATTTGGCTCGAAACTCTGCCGAGTTTCTTGGTAGCAGCTATTCTGGCAGCGACTGGCGAAA